TGCTCGTGGAAGGACTCTGTGCTGAATGCCCCGGCTGTCGACAGGAAAGAAAGTCGTGCACAGGTTTCTGTGGAGTCTCAAACGCCATTTCTGGCTGGGTTGGTATAAAATTATGTAAAAATTGCAGCTTTTCTTTTTCTGGCAAAGTAGCCGTTGGTGGGTTATGGTGCATTATCTTTAACTAGCAGTGGTTCTGCTAATGGGCTTAAAAACCCAGAGGCGCTGGTGAAAGTCCAGCTCAGCCAGGCCGAGTCCAGAGGAGCTGGGCCGTGAGTACCAGGCCCGAGTCTTAGGGGAGGGAGTTCCGGGGAATCCTCACATTCAGGGAAACTGAAGTGGGGTTTGATTTCCATTCTGTTTAACCGATAAGCAAGGCTAACGAGCTCACCTCCTCAGACTTCACGTAACTAAAGGACCAGCTGAGTGGGCTGGCTAGCGGTGACACGTGCCGCTTGTTCAGAGCTCAGATTTTGAGCTTGCCAGTTATTCCTGTTAAGGACTGATTGCTCTTTGTTGGTTCCTGGCATGGTTTGTGATCGACTCACCATGTTCTGTGGAGGCCAGAGGAGCTGCTGCGCAATACGAGGGGGCAGCCTGCCCTTGGGGCATGAGTTTAGACCGGTGGTCCAGGGCCAGTGCCGTGTTGCCAGGCAGTGCCTGCTGGTGCTGGGCACCGGAGGCAGCACGGCGGCTTCAGGCCGAGCTTCAGCGTCCTCTTGGTCCCACGCAGAGATGCAGGAGCTGGAGTGTGAGGCCGTTACTTGGTCCGGAGGCAGCCCTTCTGTTATTTGGAGTGTGTGGCCGTTATTTGGTCCAGAGGCAGCCCTTCCAGCTATGCCAGGGTTGGCTGGCTGCCCTTCTCCTGCATTCTAGGCCAGTGGCCTCCAAAGTTCGGCCAATCCAGGCTGTGCTCAGAGCCCAGCTCCTGGGACAGCTTGGTGGCGTGCAAGGCCCTTCTGGAGAAGCGAGGGGCCTGAGCTCTTTGGAGACCTGCTCGTCCTCCCATGTGGCGGAAATCCTCGTGCCCCTGCGCCCCCGGTCACCTTCATTGCCCTACCCCTGACCTGCCCTGCGCACTCGGATGTGTCTCCCCAGCCTTTCCTCAGAGTAAGGGTGAGAGCTGGGTGTGTGCTGAGTAGGACAGAGGTCCTTTCGAAGCTGCAGGAGTGCCCAGCCGCCCCGTTCACCGTTTTTCCTGTCTTCTCCAGCTGGGCCCCTCAGAACAGCCCAGGGAGACTGGTGGACTCAGGTTACTATTCTTAGTTTATTGATGAGAAAATTGAGGCCTGGTAAGAGGAGTGGACATCTAACATTCACCCTTCTCCTGGTCGGCTGTGTGCCGGTCTCATTTCTGCAGCGATGCCGGGCTGTGTGCTTGAGCGGGGCTGGCCTGGACACAGCCCTCCTGGAGGCTGTCCCTTTTCCCGGCCACTCGGCACAGGTGCACCCTGGCCTGGCGCCCACGCGAGCTCTAGGCACCTGCTTGGGCCTGAGTCCAAGGACAAGTGACAGGGAGCCTGGGCAGCAGGGAATTGACGGTGGCTGCAACTTCCTGTTTCCCGGGGCGCCGGTGGCCCCGGCGCCTGCTGCGTGCCTGCAGTCCCTTGTTCCCACAGGTGTATCCTGAGGCTCGGTGTTGGCTGTGGTTGGACTGTGGCCAGTCTTGGTTCCTACCGTTTTCTGAGCCTGCTTCTCCAGCCTTCCCAGAAGTTCTGTGAGTTATGGAATGTCTTTCCGTAAATTGCTTTTGTGCTTAAATTAGCCAGCATCAGTTTCGGAGGCTTGCCAACAGGAGTCCTGCCTGCCATGGGCTCGTGACTTGTCAGGCCTCGGATCTGAGGCCTGAGCCAGGGCCCTGAGCCTGGATCTGCTGAGAAACAGCCTTCCTCTTGACCGAGGCCTGCTCATTCAGCTTCTGAACAGGGACTCAGGTAGGAGGCACGGGTCAGTGAACATGTTTGCTAGTGCTCGGTAAAGAAACGAAGCTGACTTCTATTGCAAGACTGCTCAGAGCTCTTAACCCGCTAAGGTGCGCAGGGTGTCACCCAGAAGGGGATAGCGCGTCCAGGCTTCTCATCGTGCCAGCAGAACCCTTTCTCCGAACACAGTTTGTGCTCAGAGAAATGCTCTGCTGGCCCCTTGGCCCGGATGGTGGACATGCTGATGATCTGGTTCAACACACGTATGATAAACCCCTTACATGTATAATGCATCTGCCGTCCGTGGGGCCCTGACTCGTGGTAGCATGGTCACCTGCCAGCAGCTCAGGGTGATGGAAAATGTCCACAGATGTGAGCGGGTGCGGGTCAGGAGTTGATTCTGGCTTCAGGAAACAAGGGGATGCACCCAGGGGGTTGGGAGAAGGGGTGGCAGTTGGCTTTTGAAGGACCTTTAGGATTTTGAAGTTGTTGGATAAGAATTTAGGGAGCAGAGCAGTGCACTCTGGGTGACGAGGTCAAAGGCCAAGGATATTGGGTTAGGATGTCCGTTGCGGCAGGGATAATGGTAATCCTAAATCCTTCGGGGATGTCAGGTCTTTACACACATTCCCGCTAACCCTTGTGCCAGCCCTACGATTTAGGTATCGTTTGTCCTACAGATAAAAGCACTTGTGTCTCAGAGAGTTTAGGTGACTTTCTCAAGGTGATGGGTCGTGGGTAGGAGGCCATGATCTCCCTCTGCCTGGTCTCATCCCTGTTTCCGCATGACAGAGTGGAGGGGGTGGGAAGACTCTTTTGGTTTTTATCCCTCAGGCAGTGGGGAGCCATGGTAGGAATATGAGGTGTCAGAGAGCATCTCCGATGCCGGGCAAACATCTGAGAAGGTTTCCCAGCAAAATCCTGTGTCCACTCACTGGGAACTGGAGAGCTATTTGATTCAGATCCCTGTCACTGTGCACAGAAAGGGGGATGTTGAAACAGGGCAGCTCTGGAGCCCAGGGGTTTAGGATGGAATCTTGGGAGTGATGCTTCTTGCACACCATGGAGTTTTGGGAATGGTGCTTGACCTCTTCAAGGCATAGACCTGTGTGGGCCTCTGTCCTGGGGCTGTTGGGAGGTAGAGCAGGGAGTCAGCGTGTGCTGTTGGGAGCAGGTGGAAGGCACAGAGAAGAGAGGAGAACCTGCGGGGTCAGGGCGATGGGGGCGTGTTGAGGTTTCACTGTGAAGCAGTCACCAGGCCAAGTGGGGCAGACGGGACGGTCAGGGAGAGGCCAGTCCCCGGTGTCCAGGCCTGGATACTGGAACCCTCGCTGCACGTGAGGGGCGCCCACGGACTTAGGGCCGCTGGAGCGTGAAGGCAGCCGCCAGCCTGCAAACAATGAGCACGGCTGCATCCCAGGAATACTTCCCTTGCTTGCAGCAGGCGCTGGGCCAGGTTTGGCCGGCGGGCTGCGGTTCGCTGAGCTGCCGTAGCGCCGTCGTGTCGTCAGTAGTGATGTGGTGTTCGAGGTGAGGGTGGCCGGAGCGGGAAGAGCCCGCGTGTAAAGAGGGCGCCCGAGGGCCCCCTTCCTCGGGGAGGTGGGGGTTGGTGAGCGAGTCCGGGAGGACGGGCGCAAATGAATGAGGAGAGCTGAAAATAGTAGACCGGCGTGTAGTGCGGTGCGGGGGTGTGCGGGGGTCCCAGCAGCCACGTCCGGTGGGGCTCGGGGCGGGGCTGGGTGGCAGCCCGCTCACCGACGCGCTGCACGGGCAGAGCCCGCGCGCGGTTACGGTTTTGGACAAGTTCAGGTGAAGGGCTTCCAGGACGCAGAGGTCAGGAAAGCCAGGCGGCAGCCCGACTTCCAGTCCGGAGCTCGCAGGGAGGCCTTGCGGGGCTCCGGTTCTGGGGCGGCTGTGGCTGAGCGCGGAACCCTGGGAAGCGCTGGCCCGTGAGGTGGCCCGAGGGAGGTGTGCGGGAAGCAGGGCAGGCGGCCGAGGCGGCCCGGGTGGGCTTCCCCACGGCCCTCTCTTCCGGCCTCCCCTCGAGGCCGAGGGATTTTTACAAAATGCCAGCCTGCCTAAACCTTGGTACAGGCTTCTCGCTGCTCTTAGTACATCTGTTCTTTCTTTTAAACTTCCACTGGGTTGACCAAAGTTAGCATCTCTCAGAATTGTTCGCGTGGAGGGTACCTGATAGGATAGCTTTTGTACTCTGGCTTGAACGCAAGCAAAGTCCGTGCGCTTCTGTAAGGGCGGGATTCCGACGCGCGGGCCCTCCGCGGCCGCTGCCGAGTCGGATCTCGCTCCGTTTCTGTAATTCATTTAATAAGGCTTTAGTTTTAAACGTACTTTATTCAAAATATCCCATGCTTTGCCTTCAGTTTTTACTGGAAGTGTTGTTGGTAATTGTTTTATTCTAAATAGCTGTAGGTACTTTTTAAAAGGAACTCTTATTTCATCTTTGACTCTGCGTTGGTTAAAGATAAATAAGACTAGGGAGATGGTAATTAAAAAAAAATTGTTTTTTAATTATCTTTGACTGCGTTGGGCCTTAGTTGCTGCGTGTGGGCTTTCTCTAGTTGCGGCGGGCGGGGGCTACTCTAAGTTGCGGTGCGCAGGCTTCTCATTGCGGTGGCTTCTCTTGTTGCAGAGCACGGGCTCTAGGCGCACGGGCTTCAGTAGTTGTGGCCCCCGGGCTCTAGAGTGCAGGCTCAGTAGTTGTGGCACACGGGCTTAGTTGCTCCGCGGGCATGTGGGATCTTCCCGGATCAGGGCTCGAACCTGTGTCCCCTGCAGTGGCAGGCAGATTCTCAACCACTGAGCCACCAGGAGATCATAATTTACGGAGATGAAAGGAGAGTGAACTGTTGGTTGGCTGCTCTGGGTAATTATGGTAATCTTCTGTCTTCAAAGTGATTATGTTATAAAAATGACACACTATATGGTTAAATTCCAAAAATGGGGAAAAAACTTTGGAAGATGTTTTATGTCTTAAATAACTGGGGCTTCTGTTGTGCTTTAGAAGTGACCAAACTCTTTCACGTATGCGTAACTTTAAAAATTGTTTCTCTTTAGGTACTTGCGAGAATGAACAAGACCTGTGAAATGAAATACAAAATGATGGACAGCCCTTTGGGGAAGATCGAGATCTCTGGCTGTGAGCAGGGTCTGCACGGGATAAAGCTGCAAGGCCGGAAGATCCCAGACACTGAGTGAGTGAGAGTCCTGTGTGACACCCACTGCTTGGTTTGTTCAAAGCAACAGAGAGAATACGATTATTGCTTGTTCTCCATTGATCACAGGGTAACACGTAGCCACACGCTACCAGTCACAAAAGTTAGCATCTCTCTAAAAATGGTAGGGCCATGATTGTTCGTTTTCAGCATCTGTGCTTATTGCCCAGGAACCCTCCACCTCCGATTAACCACAGGGACATAACCTGTAATTAGGAGCCCCAAGACGTATTAATGTATACATTTATAGAGGTGTTGATGGACTGTATTGAACGCTTTGATTCTTAAGCAAGTGGGATGTGGGAATCTCTTTGGACGTTTGGTGACAGGGAGCTGCTGCTTCCTTAATCTGGATTTTTAAATCCAGGACCAACGTTCAGTGTTCATCAGCCTGCCAGGTGATGAACTTTTATGGGACTTTTGTTAATAGAATTTTTTATTAATGGACTTCTATTCCAAAGTCCTGGAATTGCTTATTAATCAGTAGCTCCACTGGGCCTCTTGGAGACGGTGTCCGGCTGTTGGTGTGTGTGCGCAGCAGAGGAGAAAGGGTATGAAATCCCCTTGATAGCATGAAGTTAGGGTATTGCCATTTCTCACGGAACACGTTTCTCTGAACGATCTCCACTGTTTATTTTCTCTAATTATAAAACCATTAAAAGTTCAAAGCACTCCTTCATGTTTTGTTCTGAAACGTAACATTCAGTTTCCTCCATTCATTGATTGTGAGTAGCAGTTGTATTTTAAAATTGCAGTTCTTGTTATTTCTGACAGAAGAGGGGAAAAACCACCCACTCCTTTGCTCAGCGTTTGTCTTAACGGGCTAATCAACACAGCGCCAAGGATGTTAGAAAAAGAAAATACGTAAGAAACATAAAAATTGATTTTAATGGACCGCTGTCAGAGATGGCTATAATGAGCACAAGCGCGGTAATAAATACCAGTTTTCGCCTCCTCGGTCGAGATTTTTCCTGTAGAGCTGCACGTTACAATCAATAATCTTTTTTAAGACCAAAAAATAAGCAAACCTTTGAATTATATGAATACAGTCTTCTTGATTTCTATGAGAACCATCTGGCTGTAGTGTTCAGAAAAATCACAGGCACCAAATAATTTGTAGGGAA